TAAATTTATGAACCCAAACTAACCAGAATTGTCAACTTAGTTATTGTTGTTGTTGCTGCTATACTCATATTTCATGAGAAGGAGACAAAGAGTAGAAACTAGTTCACACTTGAGATTTATGTCCCTCCAAAAATCACCTTCCAGGGATGCATGGGTCCTATACAGATTCAATCCAATGTTCACATCCCATATTTACTATCCCTATGCAGAGGTGATGATGTTTAAAATAATGACTGAGAAACATTATAAAATGTAAAATGATCAAAGGAAGATTCAGTAATGTTCTAGAGACTGTGCCTATTTAGGAAAGAAAATTTGCCTATGTACTTAAATCACACACACACAACTGAATAGACTGACAAGTGTTCCAAATTAACTCAGAGTTCATCCAATAATTAATTTCCAGAGCATTCTACTCACCTATGGTCTTACTCTGCTTGATTTAACTCATACCTCACTTGGTGGCATCTATGTCCTCAGTAGCTTAGGCAATTTTTTCTCAAAGCCCCAGCTCATCAGCAGTGCAAGGTTAGAGGTGTCCTGGTTCATACATGTGTGTCTTTCCACAAGTCAGGCTTCTATTGAAGAAGAACTCATTCTAATTCTCTCAGTTCTTCAGAGAATTTCTAATCAGAAATTACTTGCAATAAACTCCAACTTGCAAACTCCAAATTACTTGCAATAAACTCCAACAGCCATGAGCTACATGGAGTTCCCAAGGAGACAGTTCTCCTTAGCACTTCCCATTCACTCCATAGTCAGAGCCATGGGCAACACAGACTCAATCCATTTGACAAGCCAGTCTATATTGCAAACCATACATAATAGTATATTTAACCAATATCTAAATATTTCACAACAAACAAGGTAGCACTTAACAACAAGAGGAGAAAGAGATAGGAGAAAGGGTAAATGAGCAAGTCCCAGTGCGAGCGAAGAAGAAAAAAGGATTCTGGTCTGGTTCATTGGTCTCCGACGGAGGAGTCTTTGATGTGGAAGAGCCTTTAGAGGTGCATGCCAGGTGCTCATCATGGCTGACTGCAAGACTGGGTTAATTAAGGCAGCTGTTTGGAGATGCTGAAGGTCTGCCTTTTTACACACACACACACACACACACACACACATATATATGTAAATATCTGCCTTTATATATATGTATACATATACATACACACATATATATATGTGCGTGTATATATATATGTATGTACATAGTCACAGATTCCTCTGGTGAGAACCTTCAATGGAAGAGTGTGCTTTGTTATGTCCTTACCTGCTTGGATGCAGTCTTCACATTTTTATTTGTTTGTTAAGCAAAATATCCTTGTTGGCAAAGTCCCATATGAAATATAAAATGCAGTAGTTTTCTAAGATGGAGATTAATGAAGGGTTGCTCTATACACCCCAATTTCTTAGTTTTGAAGTATTTCTGAATTTACTTCCTCAGTTTCCTCTCCTAGTTCTGAGGGACTTTTCAATTTCTGCTGCTACCTGGTTTCCAAATATTACTTCTTTCTAGAATTCATTTAAAAAGTATAATTCAGCAAAAATATAAAGATTTAGGTGGGTTTGGAAAGAAAAGTCATATCACACAAGGAGTCAATGGAAATCTTCTTGGCCCAGTGCAATTTCCACCCTTCCTCTTGTGGCCATTCTTCATCCAAAACGTTCTGGGCCCCTGGTGAAGTGTCTCTCCCCACCGAGTGCAGTCCCTAGGTTTTAGAAGGCAGTGACTCTCTGAAGCTGATGCTAATTTTTAGCTATCTCTTGGTCTCCTCTCCCTGTGTCCTGTTGAATTCTAATGAATTATATTCACATCACATTACATTTTTATTTCTTATGAAATTGTTCTAAATTGCCATCTTGTCTCCCAGTCCTTGCAGAATAAATAGCTCTTGATCTTGCAGATCAAACAATCCTAATTCAGTTCAGCTGCCACATTTGATAGATGAGGAAACTAAAGCTCAGAGAAGGAAAGTGATTTACCAAAAAATATTGGGGCTGTTTGGAAGCAGAGCTGAAGCCATAACTCTGGTCTTCTTCCTCTTAGGCCAATGCCCCTATCTACTTGTGTCATTTTTTCTTCACTACAGATTGGCAAGATTGTAATAATGAAAGATGACAGGGTTGCCTATGCACCTTGTATTCTTGTCTATTATAACTATAAACCCGAATACATGCTTCCCAGCATGGTTAATCATCTAGTAGAAGAAGATAGTGTGATTTCTTGTCCTGTAAATTATGAAAAAACACCTCCTGTACCTTCTCTTAATGTTTGCCATGTTGTTTTTCAGGCTCTAAGGATTTGGTCTCAGTGTAATTGTGTATAAATACTGCCTGTTCATCTCTCCTTATTAGTAGATGCTGACTAACATTACAAGGTATTAATTGGTTATACTGTATTAGGAGAATAACAGTTTATAACAATATTACTTGCAATAAATTTCATACTTTTTTTTCTATTCAGTGAAGCAATTGTTTGGCTTTATGGCTACACAGTTTTTCTTTCCTAGCTAAGTTTATTTTCTCATAAGGCAATCAGGTGGCAAAAAAGTATTAACAAGGACAGGAAACCAACATCTAGCAAAGAAATTTGAAGATCATGTTCACCCTGAATAAACAAGTGCCATTAGAAAAATTCTTCCAACTTTAAACAGAAAAGTTGAAAAAGAAGTACTGTAAAGACACAGGTGCCCTCTAGATTCACAAATTAACATTTTTTGGGATTGGCTTTCTGTGTCTGTCTCTTTTCCTCTTCACATACACACTCATTTTCTCTCTTTTACACACACATACATATAAATGCACACACTCACATTTTGGGGAGCTCTGAGCTGCTTGAAAGCAAATTGCAGACATCAAGATTGTACAAAAATAGTTCAGAAGTTTTTTCCAAAATTAGCACATTCTTTTATATTACTACAATAACAATCACAAGACATTTGCTACTGATAATTAATATTATGTAGTATACAGTCAATTTAAATGTCTCCACTTGCTCTCAAATATTCTTTATATTAGTCAGGAATCTTATATTGGATTTTTTGTCATGTTTCTTATTTTCATCAGTCTAGAATATTGCTTCCCCTCCACCCTTTCCTTCATCTTTTACAACCTTGACATTTTTGAAGAGTCCAGACTAATTGTCTCATAGAATGTTTCTCAAACTGGATTCATCAAACTGTTCTTCTGGATTAGACAAAATGTTTAGGCAAATATTATGTTTCCCATTGCATTGCCTCAGGCAGTTTATAATGTCACTTTATCTCAATATTTGTGAAGCTAAGTTTCATCGCTTCATTTTAAATTCTGTACTTAATAAACATTTGATGGATAATAGAGATATATAAATGTCCTTTTCCTAACAATATGTTAGTGTATAGTGTTAGGAGCAATTTCATGCCAGAATCTCATACTACCTTGGTGGTATTTGCAAAACGGTGATTTTAAATTTCAGGCATTTTTCTAGCTCAGGGGCCAGTAGATTTTTCCAGTGTAGAGCCACATTCTAAGTATTTTAGGCTTCGTGAGCCACATATGGTCTTTGTTACATATTCTATTTCTTCTTTAGCTGTGTAAATATTATTATCTCATGGACTGCAGGAAAATGGTCTGCAGCAGTATTTGGGCCATGAGTAGTCATTTTACAAAGTCCTCTTCTGTGTTATAAAGAAGAGCTTTCCTTTCCCTTGTAACACCTGTGTGTGTGTGCGTGTGTGTGTGTGTGTGTTGTGTGTGTCAGAGGAAGAGAATCAGATTCTTTAATAACTATTTCTTTTATAGAATTGGTCTCTTTAAGCTTTTTGTTTTTAAAATAAATACTCTTTGGATTTAACTTTGGTAAATTACACTGTCTTAAGAAAATTTCAATTTCATCTTCTATGCTTTCTGATACAATAGCGACTAGCTGCATGAGACCATTCAAATTTAAAATAATTATAATTAGAAATTAAATAAATTAATAATTAGAAAAAAATTAGTTTCTCAGTCATATGAGCCACATTTAAGTGTACAGATATTCACTCAACACACATAGCTAGTGTCTACATATTGAACAGCATAGATGTAGGACATTTTTATGATTTAGAAATTGGATAGTAATAAATGCAGGTTTCAAATGTATTTTCACAGAGTTGTGCAAAATAGTCCCTCATATTTAGAGTTAAATTATAATTCTTTTTTGTCTTTTTTGCTTTTATGCTTATTTTCCTTCTTACTAATTTGTCTTTTTCCCTTTTTTTAAGGTACCAAAGTATTTATTATATCTACAGTTTTTCTGTTTCTATCTCACATTTTCCTTTCCTTATGCTTTCTTTTGATTTAGTTTATCAGTTTTTTATTTTAAACTTTTAGGTTCAGAGGTGTCTGTGCAGGTTTATTATATAAGTGTCACGGGGGATTTGTGTACAGATTATTTAGTCACCTATGTGGTAGGCACTGTACCTCATAGGTGGTTTTTCAGTCCTGACCCTCCTCTTCCCTCCATCCTCAAATAAGTCTGTTGTGTCCATGTGTACTCAATGTTGAGCTTCTACTTGTGAGAACATGTAGTATGTGGTATTCTGTTCCTCTGTTAGTTTATATAAGATAATGGCTTTTACCTTCATCCATGTTGCTGCAAAGGACATGACCTCATTCTGTTTTATGGCTCCATCACATTCCATGGTGTATATGTACCACATTTTGGTTATCAGTCTACCATCGATGGGCATTTAAGTTGGTTTCATGTCTTTGCTATTGGGAATTATGCTGCAATGAGCATATGCGTGCATGTATCTTTTTCTTTTATCTCTTATCTTTCTTCCCTCCCTCCCTCTCTTCCTTCCTTCCTTCCTCTTTTCTCTCTTCCTTTCTTTTTCTCTTCCTTTCTCTCTCTCTTCCTTTCTCTTTTAACTTCCTTCCCTCCCTCCCTTCCTCTCTTGCTCCCTCTCTTCCTTTCTTCCTTCCTTCTTTCCTCTTTTCTCTTCCTTTTTTCTTTCTCTCTTTCTTTCTCTTATCTTCCTTCCTTCCTGTCTTTCTCTCTCTCTCTTAATCTCTTCCTTTCTTTGTTTCCCTTTCTCTCTCTTTCTTTTTTCTTTCTTCCTCCCTCCCACCCATCCTTTCTTCCTTTCCTTCTTCCTCCCTCCCTCCATCCCTCCTTAAGACCAGCCTGGCCAACGTGGTGAAACCCCATCACTACTAAAAATACAAAAATTAGTCAGACATGGGGGCGTGTCCCAGCTACTCTGGAGGCTGAGGCTGGAGAATCTCTGGAACTTGAGAGATGGAGGTTGCAGTGAGCTGAGATCATGCCACTGCACTCCAGCCTCGGCAAGAAGAGCGAAACTTTGTCTCAAAAGAGCAAGCAAGCAATTACTGATAACCTTACAGATTGTCAGAGGGACACAAGGGACTCAGAAGGGGGACCACACTCATTCTCTCACATACAGAGAAGAGAGCAGTCTACCTACCCTAGACCACACAGCAACCAGCTGTCAGCAGCTGCATAGCCCAAGCCTCTCCATTATGGCCCAGGGTTTCTGACCTTCCCTGGAGGGGCCCTTGGGCCTTCCCTTACCACCTCCCTTCCCTGCCTCACTTTAGCTCTTCTCTATGCCCCTGTTTATGGCCAAAGGCTGGGGATCTTATAAGTTTGAGGCAGCCTGAACCTCTGTCTGTGCTTTCACCCAGAGCCGGAGCACCAGGCTCCAAGCATATCAGCTGTGATTCCCCACTGGTTCAGAACCACCTAAGGGCTGGCTGGTTGTGCATATGGAAGAGGGCATGCTGTTCTTCCTCCAGGTTGACAACATGATAGATTGAAAAATACTTGGGAGGCTGGGTGCAGTGGCTCAGGCCTGTAATTTCAGCACTTTGAGGCTGAGGCCAGTGGATTACCTGAGGTAGGAGTTCAAAATGAGCCTGGCCAACATGGTGAAACCCCATCTCCTAAACATACAAAAATTAGCTGGGCGTGCTGGCATTTGCCTGTAACCCCAATACTCAGGAGGCTGAGGTGGGAGAATCACTCGAATCCAGGAAGCAGAGGTTGCAGTAAGCTGAGATCTCACCACTGCACTGCAGCTTGGGTGACAGAGTGAGACTTTGTCTCAAAAACAACAACAACAAAAGAAAAGAAAGGAAAAGTGCATGGGCTCTGGAGGCGGAGAGATGGAATTGAAACCCAGCTTTTACTTCTCAGCTGTGTGCGCTTGGACAAGTTGGCTTCTCTGAGCTTCAGTTTTCTCATCTGTGAAATGGGAACAACATTTGGCTTGCCGGGGGTCTTAGGATGACTGGGGAGTGTCTGGCACATAGTAGGTGCTCAACGTGTGTGCTTTCCCATGGCCACCTAAGAGTCCTCAGGGCTGCCCTCCTGCCCTTCCCCCACAACTCCTGTGACTGACTCTTAAATGGGTACTCGGGGTGATAAGGAGGCACAGGTGAGAGAGCCAGGCTGGATCCATACCCACCCATGCCCATTGTTAGGAAAACAAGCTTTTAATGCCTGGCCCTGCTGCTGGTGGCTGAGAGTATAAAATGGGACCCAGAGCCAGCCTCTCCCTTCTGCTAAGGCACACCAAGGCAATAGTATTTAAAAGGAAAGGAGGCAGTGGCATGGAGGCTCCAGAGACTGAGCCATTCCTATGGCAAAAAGGGAGGCAGTGGGGTCCCCTGCTGAGGGCCATCTGGCAGGTTTCCATTCTACCTTCCTCATGGGACCCACAGCCTCTTCATCAGTTATGTCTTCAGGTTCACTGTCCCCAAGTTGCTTAGGTGGGTCCAGACTTCAGGAGCTCTGCTAAGGCTGGTGGTCTCTAAATTGCATCCCTGCAGGGCCAGGGAGCTTCAGCTCTCATGCCTCTGCCTATAGATCTGGTGCTCCGGACCACTGGAGGGTGGGTGAGAAGGATACTGAAAGAGGAAAATGATTAATGAGAAAGTGACTGTCTCCCACAAGGGCAAATAAGCAAGGTCTTACCTGACTGTATAAATGAGCTTTTGTCATAAAATACCCCAAAAGTGAGTGGCTTAAAATTATAAGCATTCGTTTGTTTAGTCTATGGTAATGTGGGTCAGTAACATGGACTGGGCTCAGCCAGGTGGTTCTTCTTTCCTTGGCTGGGTTTTCTCATGTGCCTACAGTTGTGTGTCTGAAGCTGGGATGGCTTTGTTTCATGTGGTTCCCATTCTCCAAAAAGCTAGCTCAGACTTGTTCATGTGGCTGCTTGGGAGGCTTCTAAGCAATAGGCCAAAAGCCACATTTTCTCTTGAGGCTCACATCTGGCACAGGTTTACCTCCACTCTACTCTGTTGGTCAAAGGTGGTTTTGTGGCCAGCCCAGGTTCAAGTGGTGTCTGTTCAGTTGCTATAACAGCATCACAGACTGAGTAGCTTCAACAACAGAAATGTATTTTCCTCATGATTCTGGTGGCTGGAAGTTCCAGATCAGGTATCTGCAGGTTGTTTCCATCTGAGGCCTCTGTGTGCAGTGGGCCACCTCCTCCCTGTGTCCTCTTACGGTTTTTCCTCTGTGTCCACCCTGGTGTCTCCCTGTGTGTCTACATTTTCTCCTCTTATCAGGACTCCAGACTGGGTGAGGACCCAGCCTAATGACTTCATTTTAACTTTATTTTCTCTTTAAAGGCCCTATTTCCAAATGCAGTCACATTCAGAGAAACTGGGGGTTGAGGCTTCAACATACAAATTTTGTGAGGACAAAATTTAGCCCATAACAAGGGGGGAGAAAAACACCATCTCTTGATCTTGAGGAGCTGCAGTAAGATTGAAAAGAAGCATGGACAGCGGGGGAAATAACTGAGATCATGATTGTGAAAAAGTCAACCACGCCGACTGATCCTCCACACCTGGCCTGATTTGGGCAAAGGCAACACACATGGGCACCTACTCTCACCAGCTGTACCTTCTTCCTCCTTCCCCTGCAAGCCTTTTTCTGGAGTTTATTGGTGATCCCAAGTCTCCAGCCTGGAAGGGCTACCTGCTCGGGGTGCTGATGTTCCTCTCGGCCTGCCTGCAGACGCTGTTTAAGCAGCAGAACACGTACCGGCTCAAGGTGCTTCAGATAAGGCTGTAGTCTGCCATCACTGGCCTGGTGTACAGAAAGGTGAGTCCCGGGGGACAAGTGCAGGTCTTCCCAGCCAGGAAAAGTAACATAACTGAACTGGTTGGTAGTAATGCTATCAGCAGCTGAGAACGCTTTCAGTTCTTACTTATTAGAGTCACTCATGATATATTCTCACTTCCTTTGTTGTTTCTCTTTATTTGTATGTATGTATGTTTTCAAGACAGAGTCTTCACCCACCATGACTTCCCAGAGTTCTGGGATTACAGGCATGAGCCACCTCGCCCAGTCTCCCTCCCTTCTTAAATCTGAGTTATATTCTGCTGTGCAGATGGATCACACTGTGTTTATCTTTTCATCTGATGGTGGACCCGTCAGTTGATTTTGCCTTTTGGCTGTTGTGAATCGCGCTGCTGTGAGCACAGGTGTGCAAATACCTCTTGGAGTTTCTGCTTTCTATTCCTTTGGGATAAATGGCAGTGGCTTTGTTAGAGCCAATGGTAATGCTGTATGTGTTTAGAGGGACCACCGTTTCTAAGTGTGTTGTTGTTGAGATGGAGTCTCACTGTGTCACCCAGGCTGGGCATGATCTGGCCTCACTGCAACCTTCTTGTCTCAGGTTCAAGCCATTCTCATGCCTCGGCCGCCTGAGTAGCTGAGATTACAGGCATCTGCCACCACACCTGGCTCATTTTTGTATTTTCAGTAGAGACAGGGTTTCACAATGTTGCCCAGGCTGGTCTCGAACTCCTGGCCTCAGGTGATTCGCCCACCTTGGCCTCCCAGAGTGCTGGCATTACAGGTGTGAGCCACACTTTGTCCCCTGCTCCGACTTTTTTTTTTTTTTTTGAGATGGAGTTTTGCTCTGTCACCCAGGCCTGGAATGCAGTGATGCAATCTTGGCTCACTGCAACCTCCGCCTCCCAGGTTCAAGAGATTCTCCTGCCTCATCCACCTGAGTAGCTGGGACTGCAGGTGAGTGCTACCACACCTGGCTAATTTTTGCATTTTTAGTAGAGCTGGGGTTTCACCATGTTGGCCAGGCTGGTTTCCAACTCCTGACCTAGGCGATCCACCCACCTCGGTCTCCCAAAGTGCTGGGATTCCAGGCGTGAGCCATCGCGCTCAGCCAAGCCCTGCTCCTTTCTAATCCCACCACCTGTGAAAGGCTTCTGGGAGCTCACAGAAACAATGGCCCCAGTGTGGTTGCTCCCAGTCCCTTGCTCTGGGAGTTCTGGGGACGCACAGTGAGGAGTGATTGTTTTCCTCACTCATCTAGATGCGATGATCCTGGTCAAAAAAGTTTGCTGTTGCTGATTGGCATCTGGTCAGGCCCCCGCCCTGTGGAAACTGCCCCCACCCTGTGGAAACTGCCCCCACCCTGTGGAAACTGCCCCCACTAAATCCTTATGCCTCAGTTTACTCAGCTAACTTAGACCTCCAGCCCTGCCCCAGGCTGGGTTAGGCTTCTCCCTGTCATGCCATATGGGAATCTCCCGTGTGATACTTTATTTATTTATTTATCGAGATGGGATCTTACTCTATCACCCAGGCTGGAGTGCAGTGGTACAATCTCAGCTCACTGCAACCTCTGCCTCCCGGGTCCAAGTGATTCTCCTACCTCAGCCTACTGAGTAGCTGGGATCATAGGCACATGCCACCACGGCCTGCTAATTTTTGTATTTTTAGTAGAGATGGGTTTTCTCCATGTTGGTCAGGTGGGTCTCAAACTCTTGACCTTGTGATCCACCCACCTCAGCCTCCCAAAGTGCGGGGATTACCAGCTCACACCTCGCCTGACCCGTGTGACACTTCAATGAAGTCAGGTGTGTAGGTGATGGCTGCCTGATCATCTTCCCACCACGGGGCAGGGCTAGGGGCTGTGTTGTCTAGAAATTTCTCAGCTCTTTATGCTGGTAAGGGAAGAAGGAAGAGGGGGCCCTCGGGGGACATACAGCGAGGTTTGGTGAGGACATAGCTCACCAGATTGTACTTGGTGTTCCCATGTAACTTGTAACTGCTCTCATAGAAGGTGGCCTAGAACCCCAGGGAATTGGGGTTGCTCTCTATCAGCTAGAGGTGGGAGGAAGAGAAGCTGAGGCTGTACAGAGCCAGCAGGCAGGACAGGGCAACCAGGGCCAGGTGTGGTGGCTAACGCCTGTAATTCCAGCAGTTTGGGAGGCTGAGGCAGGTGGACCATTTGAGGTCAGGAGTTTGAGACCAGCTGGCAACATGGTGAAATCCCGTCTCTCCTAAAAATACAAAAGTAGCCAGGTATGCTAGTGCATGCCTGTAATCCCGGCTACTCAGGAGGGTGATGGAGGAGAATACGGGACGCTGAGGTTGTGGTGAGCCGAGATTATGCCATTGCACTCCAGCCTGGGCACCAAGAGCAAAAGTCCGTCTCAAAAAGAAAAAGAAAACAAACTTCCTCTGCCAGTGTGGCTGCAGGTGCAACCCCTAAGTGTCCTCTCTGCCCTGCTCCTGCTCCAACATCACCCACAACCCCCAGCTGCGGATTCAAAGTCCTGCAGTGCACACAGCATGGATTTGCAGAGCTGTGAGCCTGGGGTCTGTCCTGCAGCAGGAGACACAGAGGAGGGAGCCCTGGGTTTCAGCCAGAGGCAGCCTGTGGTATCCCTCCACAGGCCCTGGTCCCCTTGTGTTTTGTAACACTCCCCCATATTCTCAGACAAGCTACCCCCATTTTCAGCATGATTACAGATGCTCCTTGACTCATGACAGGGTCATGTTTCCAGAAATCTATCATAAATTCATAATAGCAGCCAAGTGCAGTAGCTCATGTCTGTAATCCCAGCACTTTGGGAGGTCAATGTGGGAAGATTGCTTGATCCCAGGAGTTCAAGACCAGCCTGGGCAACACAGAGAGATCCTGTCTCTATGAAAAAAAAGAAAAGAAAAAAGTGAAAATATACTAAGTTGAAAATGCATTTTTTAATTTTTTGAGACAGAGTCTCACACTGTCATCCTGGCTCGAGTGCAGTGGTGCAATCTTGGCTCACTGCAACCTCTGCCGATCAGCTTCCAGTGATTCTCCTGCCTCAGCCTCCAGAGTGGCTGGCATTACAGGCATGAGCACTGGGTAAATTTTGTATTTTTAGTAGGGATTGGGTTTCACCATGTTGGCCAGGCTGGTCAGGAACACTCGATCTCAGGTAATCTTTCTAAATCAGTCTACTAAAGTGCTGGGATTACAGGCATGAGCCACCGTACCTGACCTATTTATTTTTATTTTTATTTTTGGAGGTGGAGTCTGGCTCTGTTGCCCAGGCTGCAGTGCAGTGATTCCCACCTGGCTCACTGCCTGCAACTTCTGCCTCCCGGGATCAAGTGATTCTCCTGCCTCAGCCTACCGGGTAGATGGAACTACAAGCACCCTACCATACCCAGCTAATTTTTGTATTTCTGGTAGAGACAGGGTTTCACCACGTTACCCAGGCTGGTCTTGAACTCCTGAGCTTAGACAGTCTGCCCACCTCAGCCTCCCAAAGTGCAGGGATTCCATGTGTGAGCCACCATACCCAGCCAACAAATGCACGGAATACACCTACCCTATTAAGCATTGGAGGTTAGCCCAGCCGACTTTAGGTTGAGAACAAAAAGTACTAATAGGAGCACAAAACCCACTCACCCTTCCCCACCTTGGATCATGACTTTGACATTTCAGGGGTCCAGCCTTCGTGAATGTTTGTAGAAATAGATAATAAACTTGGATAAATGTACCCATGCTTAAGTGTACAATTCAATGGCATTTTGTAGATTCACAATATTGTGAAACCAGTGCCACCATCTGTTTCTAAACTTTCTCATCATCCCAAACAGAAATGCTGTCCTCATGAAGCAATAGTTTACCTACTTTTAAATTTTTATTTACTTATTTATTTATCTTGAGACCGAGTCTTGCTCTGTCTCCCAGGCTAGAGTACAATGGTGCAATCTCGGCTCACTGCTACTTCCGCCTCCCAGGTTCTAAGCAATTCTCCTGCCTCAGACTTCGGAGTTGGGATTACAGGTGCATGCCACCACACCCAGCTACTTTTTGTATTTTTAGTAGAGACGGGGTTTCACCGTGTTGCTCATGCTGATCTTGAACTCTTGACCTCATCATGATCCACACACCTCAGCCTCCCAAAGCACTGGGAATACAGGTGTAAGCCACCATGCCCGGCCTAAATTTTTTATTTTTTAAGAGATGAGGTTCTTCTCTGTTACCCAGGCTGGAGTGCAGTGGCATGATTATAGCTCACTGCGGCCTCAATCTCTTGGGCTCAAGTGATCCCTCCTGCCTCGGCCTCCCAAGTAGATGGGACTACAGGTGCACAAAATTGCACTTGGCTAATTTTTATCTTTTTTTATAGAGAGGGTGTCACTATGTTCCCAGGCTGGCCTCAGACTCCTGGGTTCCAGTGATCCTCCCACCTCAGCCTCCTGAAGTACTGGGATTAAGGACATGAGCCACTGCGCCTTGCCCTCATGCAGTTTATTGAATACTATACTAGCAGTGAAAAACAGAAAGGTTGTATCAGTACTGGAGGTACAGTTTCTACTGAATGTGACCGTTTTTGTGCCATTGTAGCCAAAAAATTGTGTGACCATCTGCACTTGCAACTACTGGTAGGCTTAGACATTTGGATTTTAGATCCAGAAACATCCAAACACTTCCTGCTGTGTGGGAGAAGTCCGTAGGGGTCAGAGCTCTTCGCTGCTAGCAAGAGAAGCCCACTCAGGCTGAGTTTAAAAACTGAGGTCGGGCACTGTGAGTTATGCCTGTAATTCCAGCACTTTGGGAGGTTGAGGTGGGTGGATCACCTGAGGTCAGGGGTTTGAGACCAGCCTGACCAACATGATAAAATCCTACCTTACTAAAAATACAAAAATTAGCCAGGCACGGTGGCACGTGTCTGTAGTCCCAGCTACTCGAGAGGCTGAGGCAGGAAAATTGCTCCAACATGGGAGGCAGAGGTTGCAATGAGCCGAGATCATGCCACTGCACTCCAGCCTGGGTGACAGAGCAAAACTCCATCTCAAGAAAAAACAAAGAAAAGAAAATGAATTCATGGGCAGCTGAGAAGGATCGAGGAGACACAGAGACTAAAGATGGCAGGCAGCCAGCTGGACAGCCACAGCCTCATGAAGCCCAAACATGCAGAGGCTGGCCTAGGGGGTGACACAAAAATGACTGGCGTGGTGGCTCATGCCTGTAATTCAGCATTTTAGGAGGCCTAGGTGAGCGGATCACTTGAGACCAGGAGTTCAAGACCAGCCTTACCAATATGGCGAAACGCCGTCTCCACTAAAAATACAAAATTAGACAGGCATGGTTGCAGGTGCCTGTAACTCCAGCTACTTGGGAGGCTGAGGCAGGAGAACTGCTTGAGCCTGGGAGGTGGAGGTTGCAGTGAGCTGAGATCACACCATTGGACTACAGTCTGATCAACAGAGTGGCTCTGTCTTAAAAAAAAAAAAAGACACAGAGAAAATTTCTATGTAGAATTGTGAGTGAGTGTATCTCCTTTTGGGGGCAATGTCAGGGGATTTCCAAAATCTGGGAGTGGGCACCAAGCATGTGGCTGAGAATCCTGGACAGCAGCAACATCCAGATGTACTTAGCAGAGCAATCAGGGATGTGCCTGACTGGGGTATCAGCAAAGCCATCAATTCCAGCTGGCTGTTCATGTTGATGCTATACATCCTGTATATGAATTGTCCCATCAGAAACTCTATCTAGTTAGAAAGGCAAAGAAGAAAGAAAATCATGCTCCCGTTCCCCAAAGGAGAGGACAAGGAGGCGGGAAGGTGGAAGGGAACTCCCTGGTGCTGCAGCCTGAATCTCCACTCGTGTTGCTGTCTTCCCCACTAGACTCTGTACTTCCAAAAGGAGCTGCAGATAGGCACAATGCCAGCCCCTCCCTTCTCTCCAGAAGTATTCCCCAACCCTGACATTCACAGTAATTGCTTCTTTCTGTTCCTCTCTTTTTTTGGAGGCAGGTTCTTGCTCAGTCACCCAGGCTGGAGTGCAATGGTGTGATCATGGCTCACTGCAGCCTTGACCTCTTGGGCTCAGGTGATCGTTTCCCCTCAGCCTCCTGAGTAGCCAGGACTATAGGCGTGCACCACCATTCCTGGCTAATTAAAACATACTTTTTTTTTTTTTCTGTAGAGACAGTTAAAAACTGTCAACTAGGAAAATGTCTGAGCATATTATTTATTCTGGGCATGTTGAAACACATCTGATACAATACTGCTGCTTCAGGGGGAGTGAGAAAGCTTACAGCAAGATATTCCCGCTTGGCAACATATGTCTTGCTCTAAAACCAACTCTGAAACCAACACTTCTAAACCTTGTTTGTTTGTTTTTCTCTTTGTTTTGTTGTTTTGTTTATTTTTAATTCAGGGGGAGAAGTGGAGACTTCCTGGGGAAAAGAGAGTCAAAATTTCTCTCTTTGGCCTATGTGTAAGAGTTTTTGTAGTGTCTACAGCTGGGTCAAAGTTTGTGTCACCATCTCAACTGTGGGGATTCATGCAGTGAGAGTTGAGATGGGAGGAGGGTTGTGATGTCCTCTATCGGATATAATTGTTATTGTTTGGGTGCTGTTTTTACATAGTGTCAAATAAAATAAATTTAGATGTGATAAAAAGTAACTTTATTCTCAAGTAATGTGGCCTGGCCTGGTGGCTCACACCTGTAATCACAGCATTTTGGGAGGCCAAGGTGGGTGGATCACTTGAGGTCAGGAGTTCAAGACCAGCTTGGTCAACATGGTGAAACTCTGTCTCTACCAAGAATACAAAAAAGTAGCTGGGTGTGATGGCAGGTCCAAGCTACTTAGGAGGCAGGGACAGGAGAACTGCTTGAAGCCGGGAGGCAGAGGTTGCAGTGAGCTGAGATCACACAACTGCACTCCAGCCTGGGTGACAGATTGAGACTCTGCCTAAAAAAAAAAAATAAGTAAAGTAGTGTTGCAAGCACTAAACATAATATCTGCAAATGCCTCAAAAGGTAGACTGAAAAGGGCTCTTATTCACATGGAGGAGGAAGGAAGCTGAGAAAGAAGCGGGGAGAGGAAGGGAAGAATGGAAGGCGGCAAAATTAACACAAGATTGGAGAATGTTGCACTCTGAAGTCAGCTCTTGGGAGGGATAAGAAGGAGGGTTGTATGTTTGCTCAGACTGGATGTGGAGCAGAGTCCAGGAGTCTGGGGGAAAGAGAAACTTAAGCCAAGTTTGCTAAACAAGTATTTTCTTCTGAACCCTGAAGACAAATTTATTTATGAAGAACAATAGGAATGGAGAGTCTGTGAATCTGTGATATCTAAAAGAGGGCATGTCTAAAATAGGTCACAATGGTAAGGGTATTTCTTTGCAGTAAGCTCTTCCTACAGAACACAAAGCATTAGGGAGTTTTCTTAACTGTAGCTAACCATCAGGACTCACTGCCCACCCTGTCTTTCTCTCCCACTTTTCTGTGCCCTATCCATTTTTTCCAGTTGGCATTTCCTGAATTGTGATCTTTATGTTTGCCTGGTAAACATAGGTGGAGCGTTTTGCCATATTCTGTAATTAGTTTTATCAAATTATTGAACTTCAGGGAGAAGTTTATCAAAGCCCATGATGTGTAGACAGTGGCTAAGAGGTATAGAGGGGCCTCTGGTGCTTGTCACTGGCATGTGCAGTGGGGACGGTATTGAGGAACTGAGTCCTGTAGTGGTCGGTCTATGGTGACTCTGGATTGTGTGAGAATTGAGTTGTTGAACACCCGGTTGGTGTTGAAGAGTTGGCTGGTGTTCAGCAAACGTCATGTGTTTGGTGTGAGAACAAAAACATCACAGCAGCCTTGGCTGGAGGGAGACTGTGGGTCTTTTGGGGAATAGAGACTATTCTGCAAACACGCTGTTGCACTGTGAATTGTCCTGTGATTCCTGGTCTCATCTGGGTCTAGAGGGAGCTGATAACTCGAAGGAAGGAAAGTCGCTGCTCCCCACCCTGCTGGTATAAAGTGATTCCTGAACACTCATACTCATGCACACTGGACAGTAATGCAGCTTCACTACTCCCATGACATGGCTTCACCCTCAGAAATTGTGCTGAGACAACTTGTGTTTCTAGAGTTTTCTGCCAATAGGCTATATAAGTGCCCAGACGACTCGTGGCTTACTTTTATCCCCAGATCTTGAATCTGCAGCAGTGACCTGTTTCCTTCACTAGCGTAGGCTTCCAGGTCATCCGTCCCTCGCATCTGCCTGCATTATAAGTCAGAGCTACCCCGCCTGCCTGGACCAGTAACTGCAGCACTAACTAGTCTTTTCACCAACTGTGTACTGTTCCCTACCCATAGTTATTTTCCTTTTTTTTCTTTCTCTCTCTCTTTTTTTTTTGGAGACTGACTTATACTCTTATCACCCAGGCTGGAATTCAGTGGCGGGATCTCAGCTCATTGCAACCTCTGCCTCCCGGGTTCAAGATATTCTCTTGCCTCAGCCTCCTGACTTGCTGAGATTACAGGTACATGCCACCACTCACAGCTAATTTTTATATTTTTACTGGAGACGGGGTTTCACCATGATGGCCAGGCAGGTCTCAAGCTCAACCTCAGCTGATTCACCCACCTCAGCCTCCACAAAGTGCTGGTATTATTGGAGTGAGCCACCGTACCCGACCCTATAGGCTTTTGATAGCACGTTCTCTTATTCTGACTTTTTCTTTTCCATAAATGCTCTTTCACAATCCCAAGGCCACATATCTGGTGCCTAAATACCAACCCTCCTGAAAATCCAGTGATAAATTATTTGGACCTATGTATTGTAAGCAGAAATACAAAATTAAAATGAGACCCTTAATCAACTAAAAAATGAAAAACCAAATTTACTCTTCTTCTTAAAACATTTAATTTATATACCTTTTGTATGTAAATTGTTTCTCTGCTTTTTGTCTTTTAAGCATCTATAAAATCTATTTCTGATCTAATTTTTATTGTTTCTTATTCTTTTTTTTTTTTTTTTTTTTAAGATGGAGTTTTGCTGTTGTTACCCAGACTGGAGTGCAATGGCACGATCTCAGCTCACCGTAACCTCTGCCTTCTGGGTTCAAGCAATTCTCCTGCCTCAGCCTCCCGAGTAGCTGGGACTACAGGCACACGCCACCATGCCCAGCTAATTTTTGTATTTTTAGTAGAAACGGAGTTTCACCATGTTGACCAGGATGATCTCCAACTCTTGACCTCATGATCCACCCGCCTCGGCCTCCCAAAGTGCTGGGATTATAGGCGTGAGCCACCGCGCCCGGACAAGAGGCTCATGTTCTGTCAGATTCCTTTGAGTGTTCTTCCAACCCCTGCTGTGGGTGGTTTACCCTCAGCGCACTTCTCCATGAAGCCAACAGGTGACGCTATTGCTACATAAATGAAACAAACTGACCCAACATTAGAAAATAGTGTTCTTTCTTTGAGCTGGGTGGAGTGGGTCAAACCTGTAATCCCAGCACTTAGGGAGGCTGAGGTGAGTAGATCACTTGAGGCCAGGAGTTCGAGACCAGCCTGGAAACATGGTGAAACCCTGTCTGTACTAAAAATACAAAAATTAGCCAGGCATAGTGATGCACAGCTGTCATCCTAGCTACTCGGGAGGCTGAGACAGCAGAATTGATTGGGAAGCAGAGGTTGCCGTGAGCCAAAATAGCGACTCTGCACTCCAGCCTGGGTAACAGAGTGAGACTTTATCTCAAAAAAAAAAAAAAAAAAAAATAGTGTTCCTAAGGACTGAGAGGTGAAACTGAGGCAGGCAGACTGGAGTTGAAGTGGGACTTGGTGAGAAAATGGGTTCAAGTAACCTGTGAATGACTCTCAGAAAGTCAGAGCAACTTAAAAAACATTTATTCTACCTCCCACTTCCACATTTTCCTAATATAGAAACAAAAGCTGAGAGGAGAGAGATGAGTATACCAAAAGCACCACGCTGGTAGGGAGCAGGGTTGCCAGAGAAAACACAGGACATCCAGTGAAGTGAGAGTTTCGGACTCTCAGTGTATGTCTCAAATAATGCATGAGACTTAACTAAAACCTTATTTGCTCTTTGTCTTCAAAGGGAACTGGGCATCTGTATGATGATTTTCTAAGTCTGACAACCCTCATGAGGGTAACATGAAGATTAGAAAAATGCTTAAATATAATAAGCAAACATGCAAAATGAGGACAACTCTGTTCCCATTTTGCAGACTAGGGAATTGCACGTTAGGGAGGTGACTTGCCCCAAGGCCACACTCACAAGTGTCAAAGTCAGGATTTGAATCCAGTCCTGATTTCAGAGGTTTCAACTTCACTGTTATGGCCAGGAACACCCCGCAGTCCTAATCCTGTGTGTGCATGTTCTGTCTTGAATATAACCCTCTCCCCATCGTGTAAGTGGGCCATTCCCCTGCCTGACATTGAAGGACCCTGTCTTCAGAAGGCGCCTCCTGACCCAGTGTACCCCCATGAGCCCAGATCCCTGGGACCTGGTGGCTGCCCTTATCACATTCCCTGACTCCGCATCTTAGGACCCAAGTCTGACCCTCTTCAGGATATGTAGCTGTGTTACAGGAAAGGGGACCCAGTCCAGCCCCAAGGGAGGGTTCTTGGATCTTGTGCAAGAAACAATTCAGCATGAGTCCGTAAAGGGAAAGCACATTTGTTTGTTTGCTTGTTTTGTTGTTTTGTTTTGTTTTTGAGATGGAGTCTCACTCTGTTGCCCAGGCTAGATAGAGGGTAGTGGTGTGATCTTGGCTCAGTACAACCTACACCTCCCAGGTTCAAGTGATTTTCCTGCTTCAGCCCCCTGAGTAGCTGAAATCACAAGTGCATGTCACCACACCTGGCTAATTTTTATACTTCTAGTAGAGACGGGGTTTCACCATGTTGGCCAGGCTGATCTCGAACTCTTGACCTCAGGTGATCCGCCTGCCTCAGCCTCCCAAAGTCCTGGGATTACAGGTGTGAGCCACAGAGCAAGTTTATTCTTTCCTAAAAAAGCAAGTTTTTTAGGGTCATTTCTTCATGACATGCTGAATGAGGGGTAGAGTATTCATGACTCCCCTTTTTTAGATCATATAGGAAAACTTTCTGATGTTGCCATGGCATTTGTAAACCATCATGGCGCCGGTGGCAGTGTAGCAGTGAGGACAAGCAGAGGTCACTCTGGTCACCATCTTGGTTTTGGTGGGTTTGGGACTGGCTTCTTTACTGCAGCCTGTTTTACTGGCAAGGTCTCTGTGACCTGTATCCTGTGCTGCCCTCCTGTCTCATCCTGTGACTCAGAATGACTTCACCACCTGGAAATACAGCCCAGTAGGTCTCAGCCTCCTTTTACCCAGCTTTTATTCAAGATGGAGCTGCTGTGGTTCACACGCCTCTGGCAGCTGGGCTCCTCGGGATCTCCTGACGTTCTGTCCCCTCTGTCACCAGCTCCTGGGTCTCTCCACCATAGCTGTCTTCCTGAGCCACCTGCCTTTCTGAGTTTCTTCATCACCAAGAAGAGGAATCACTGTCAGTTTCGGCTTTTGGGAAAAAGACGAACCAGGCAAGAACTAGGGAGGAAGACACAGGCCCTGGTGTGGGCGATGGGAAGGGCAAAGCTGAATGGGAGCCGGCGGGTCTAGCTTTGTTCTTGTCTCTCTGAGTTGCCCATTGTGCAGACCTGCCCCGTTCCTTCCCCATCACATTGGACGGCGGCTCTTTCCTCCATTGTTCGGACCCCAGGCCCTGGGTCAGATCAATGCCTTTTTCTTCTGCACCCCATCAGTCAGCTGATTTGCTTGGCGTCATCTTGAAAATGCATCCAGCAGCAAGGCCCTGGCTCACTCCTTACTTCTGCCCCAGCCTCTCTCCACTTCCAGCCACAGGAGACCTGTGTGGGCTGAATCCATTGCACCCTCCTCTGCTCAGGCCCACAGCTGCCCCATTTTCCTCAGTCTGAGCCAAAGGCCCCACAGTGGCCCACCTGGCCTGCCCTGAGCTGCCTCATTGCCTCCAGCCTCACCTTCCACCCATCTCCCTCCCTTTCCCACCTACCCCCCTTTCCCCATCCTCACACCTGCCTGATGTTCACACATCTCTCTAGGCATCTGCTTTAGCTGTTCCCTCCGCCTGGACCACCCTCACTCCAGAAGACTCTTGTATGCTTCAGCACCCTCTGCAGTCAGGGCCACCTCCCTCACCATCGTCTAGCAAGGACATTGCCTGCCCATCCCTCTTCTCCCAGCAGCTCCCTTCCTTGGCCTGTCCTGGGTTCATTTTTGCTTTTCCCCAGCACTTCCCACTTCCTAAAGGGCCCTGCAGGCAGCGCCTGGCAGGGGCCAATGGCCTTGCTCTCCTTAGACTGGTAGCTCCACAGCAGCACGGGCCACTCCCTGTGGCAGACTCAGTATCTAGTTAGTGCTCGGCATTCAGAAGGTGCTGGACTAGTGTTTGAGAACTACGGAAGAAGGGAGGGAAGGGAGAAGGGCAGGAGAGAGGAAGGGAAGAAGGGAGGGATGGGAATAAAGGAGGGAGGGGAGGAATGAAAAGGAGAGAGGGAAGGAAAAAGGAAAGGGGAGGATGGATGGAGGGAAGGAAAGAGTTGAAAGAGGAAGAGAAGGAATGAGGGAGGGAAGGAAAGGGAGGAGGGAGGGGAAAAAAGAGGGCATAAAGAAAGGCAGGAGAGCAGAAGAAAGGAGTAGGGAAGAAAAGAAAGAAAGGCGGGGGGGGGAAGGGGGATGGAGGAAAGGAACTTATTTTCTCTCTAGGCCCAGCTGTCCCAATGTCCATCTGTAACTTGGACTGTTTCTCCAGCCTCCTGCGTGTCCTCCTCCGGGCACAGTGTCTCATGCCTGTAATTTCAGCACTTTGGGAGGTCGAGATAAGTGGATCACCTGAGTTCAGGAGTTCCAAACCAGACTGGTCAACATGGCAAAATGCCATCTCTATTAAAAAATATAAAGATTAGCTGAGCATCATGGCAGGCACCTATAATCTCAGCTACTCTAGAATCTCAGGCAGGAGAATCATTTGAACACAGAGGCAGAGGTTACAGTGAGTCGAGATTGCACCACTGCACTCCAGCCTGGTAACAGAGCAAGACTTTATCTCAAAAAATAACAAAATACCTTCTCCAGGCAGCTGCCTTCTGATGATGCCTCCCTCCCCGGGTGAAGCACGGGAGACCCCAGACTCCTGCCTGACCCTAAAGTGCCGAGTGACCCTGCCCACGCACTCCTCTGGCCACACTGAGTGTCCTCTGGGTCGTGCTGCTCCCTGTGCCTGGATTTTTGCTGCCCCCTGTCTCAAAGCCTCCCCTCCATCTTCCTGGCTCCATCCCCTCATCCTGTGCCTGCCCAGAACCCACCTCCTGGTCATTTAAGGTGTAGCTCAGGCTGTAATCCTGGCATGTTAGGAGGCCAGGCCCAGAGGATCACAAGAGCTTGAGGCCAACCTGGGCAACATAGACCCCCCCCAACTCCACCAAAAATGTGAAAGAAAAAAAGATGTAGCTCAGGCATTACACCACCTCAAGGTAGCCTTCCTGATAGCATTATACCCAGGTGGGCTCAGGGGCAGCCTCTGTTCTCTGGGCATCAGAAGCTGCCTCCCCAGAACAGTGGTCCCGGGTCAGCTCCTGCAGGAGTGCAGGCACAGGATGATGGTGGATGGATCAGGACTGAGGGTCAGAGATTCAGAGAGGCAGGCAGCTTTGGGATACAGTTTGTGGGATCAGTGGGATTTGCTGCAGGGTGACTGTCACGGTGCAGGGGAGAATTCCGGACCAGCCGTGTCTTCATCACTCTCTTCCCTCCAACCCCAGGAGAGCAAATGAGGCAGAAGGACTTGCAGGCCCGGCTCACCAGCTCCATCCTTGAGAGCTCGAGGACCATCAAGTTCCATGGCTGGGAAGGAGCCTTTCTGGACAGTCCCGGGCATCCGAGGCCAGGAGCTGGGCGCCTTGCAGGCCTCTGGCCTCCTCCTTCTCCATGTCTCTGGTGTCCTTCCAAGTGTCTACATTTCTGGTGATGTCACTCTAGTCTCTATTCCAAGCAGGACTGGGGAAGCAGTATGCAGGTCAGGAGGTGAGGTAGGTGGAGCCTCCCAGATTTTACCATCCTGTCCATCAAAACCCACACATTCTGCATCCTGTTCTCTCAGGGTTCCTGCTGTCTTCTGCGTGAACAAATTAATCACATCATTCTGGTAAAGGTGACAGTGGCCGGTGAGGTCTGCTGTTCTGAGAGTTCCAGGTTTCCACTGATGTGGGGTGGAGAGTTCAGGTGCAGACAGGATGCAGAGGTAGAATCCAGGGTCTAAGTGGCTTTCCTGCTGCTGGCCAGCAAATGTCCACAGCCACCCTCTCACTGACGTGATCCTTGCCCTGCCATTCTGTCATTTATTCCCAATGGCTGTCAGAACACTCTTCCTAAAGCACAGTTTTCAGAAGAATTTAAACATGTTGATGCATAGGCCAGGCACAGTGACTCACTCCTGCCATCCCAGCTCTTTGGGAGGCTGAGGTGGCTTGAACCCAGTTGGTGGAGATTGCAGTGAGCCAAAATTGTGCCACTTCACTCCAGCCTGGGCGATGGAGCAAGACTTTATCTCAAAAACAAAACAAAATTAAACAAAAGGACCACAAATGGGACCAACACCTAGGGCCCTCCCACGCTGCTCTCCCCAGGAGTCCCCAGGCTCAGCCCTCATGTCTATCACCTTCACAGAGAGGCCTTTCCTGACCACCTTCACCACAACCACAGCACCCCTGCTCATGCTAACCTGCACCTGATGTCTCTTTACTTTTTTATTTTTGAAGACAGAGTCTTGCTCTGTTCCCCAGGCTGGAGTACAGTGATGCAATGTCGGTTCACTGCAACCTCCACATCCCAAATTCAAGCAATCCTCCCACCTCACCCTCCTGAGTAGCTAGGATTACAGGCAGGTGCTACCACACCTGGGTCTTTTTTTTTTTTTTTTGTACATTTAGTAGAGATGGCATTTCACCATGTTGGCCAGTCTGGTCTTGAACTAACCTTAAGGGATCCATCCACCTCAGCCTCCCAAAGTACTGGGATTACAGGTAGGAGCCACCGCACCTGGTTGTACCCGCTTTAGTTTTTATTCTTCATAGCGCTCTCCACTTGATGTGCTGTCTGTGTTAATGGTTTGTTCATGGATCGCCTGTCTCTTTCCTCCTCATTAGAATGATGGATCCATTAAGAGAGTAGCAACATTGTTTTGCTCATTGCTGTTTCCCCAGAGCCTGGAACCCTGCTGGGTATATAATAACCAGGCAGTAGTTATTCATAGAATGAATGAATGGAAGAATGAATAAATGCCCGGGTACTGTGGTTCATGCCTGTAATCCCAGCACTTTGGGAGGCCGAGGTGGGTGGATTGCTTGAGGTCAGGAGTTTGAGACCTGCCTGGACAACATGGCGAAACCCCATCTCTACTAAAAATAAAAAAGTTAGCTAGGAATGGTGATGCACCCCTGTAATCCCAGCTACTCGGGAGGCTGAGGCAGGAGAATTGCCTGCACCCAGGAGGTGAAGGTTGCAGTGAGTCGAAATCATATCACTGCACTGTAGCCTGGCAGAAAGAGAGAGACTGTCTAAGAAATAAATAAAAATAATTTAAAAAAACAGAATGAAAGACCAGAAGGCCTAGATAGAAGAAATAAGTTACAGTAATCAATAGTGCACAAGGGAAATTACAGTGAATGAGAATTTATTTGAATATTTCAAGATAGCTAGAAGAGAAGGATTTTCATGTTCCCAAAACAGAAGATAAACATTTGAGGTGATGACTGTCTCTCTCAGTCACCCCGATTTGATCATTACATATTGTCTACAGCTGGGGTCCCCAACCCTCCTGGCCACGGATCAGTACCAGTCTGCAGCCTGTTTTTGTTTTTATTATTTAAGACAGAGTCTCACTCTGTGCAGCAGTGTGATCTCAGGTAAATGTAACCTCCACCTCCGAGGTTCAAGCAATTCTCCTGCCTCAGCCTCCTGAGTAGCTGGGAATACAGGCATGTACTACCACACCTGGCTAATTTTTGTATTTTTAGTAGAGACAGGGTTTCACCGTGTTGGCCACGCTGGTCCCAAATGCCTTACTTCAGGTGATTCACCCTCCTCATTCTCCCAAAGTGCTGGGATTACAAGTGTGAGCCATTGCACCCGGGCTTTTTTTTTTTGGCAGGGAGTTTTGCTCCTGTTGCCCAGGCTGGAATCCAATGGCATGATCTTGGCTCTCTGTAACCTCTGTCTCCCAGATTCAAGCTACTTTCCTGCCTCAGACTCCCAAGTAGCTGGAATTACAGGTATGAGCCACCATGCCAGGCTAATTTTTGTATTTCTAGTAGAGACAGGGTGTCTCTATGTTGGTCAGGTTGGTCTTGAACTCCCGACCTCAGGTGATCCACCTGCCTCAGTCTCCCAAAGTGTTGGGATTACAGGCGTGAGCTACCATGCCTGGATCCCTTGGTAGGAGCCAGGCAGGCAGCACAGCAGGTGAGCAGCAGGTGGGCGAGGGAGGTTTTATCTGTGTTCACAGCCACTCCTTATTGCTGGTATCACCACCTGAGCTCCACTTCCTGTCAGATAGGTGGCATTGTTAGAGTCTCATAGGAGCGCAAACCCTACTGTAAATAGTACATTCGAGAGAGCTGGACAGTGAGCTTCTTATGAGAGTCCAATGCCTGTTGATCTGTCACTGTCTCCCATCACCCCCAGAAGAGACCATCTAGTTTCAGGAAAACAAGCTCAGGGCTCCCACTGATTCTACATTACGGTGAGTTGCATAAGTATTTCATTATATATTACAATGTAATAATAATAGAAGTAGGCCAGGCACAGTGGCTCATGTCAGTTATTCTAGGACTTTGGGAGTCTGAGGCAGGTGGATCATCTGAGGTCGGGAGTTCAAGACCAGCCTGGCCAACATGGTGAAACACTGTCTCTGCTAAAGGTACAAAAGCTGGCATAGTGGCAGGAACCTGTAATCCCAGCTACTTGGGAGGCTGAGGCAGGAGAATTGCTTGAATTCAGGGGCAGAGGTTGCAGTGAGCCACAATCATAGCATTTTGGGAGGCTGAATGGGTGGATCACCTGAAGTCAGCAGTTCAGGACCAGCCTGGCCCGCTGGTGAAACCCCATGTGTAATAAAAATACAAAAATTAGCTGGGTGTGGTGGTAGGAGTCTATAAGCTGAGTTACTCGGGAGGCTGAGGCAAAAGAATTGCTTGAACCCAGGAGGTGCAGGTTGCAGTGAGCTGAGATCACGTCCCTGAACTCCAGTCTGGGCAATAGAGCAAGGTTCTGTCTTTAAAAAAAAAAAAAAAAAAGCCAAGCCAGTTACAATGGCTTATACCTATAATCCCAGAACTTTGGGAGGCCAAGGTGGAAAGATCACTTGAGGCTAGGAGTTCCAGGTAAACTGGGCAACATAGCAGGACCCCATCTCTACAAAACATTTTTTAAAAATTAGGCACAGTGGCATGTGCCTGTAGTCTCAGCTACTCAGGAGGTTGAGGCAAGAGAATTGCTGGAGCCCAAAAGGTGGAGGCTGCAGTGAGCCATGCTTGTGCCACTGCACTCCAGCCTGGGTGTCACAGTGAGACCCTGTCTCTCAAAAAAAAGAATTCAGAGTAGAGAAAGGTGTGAATTGTAAGTTCAAGCATGCCACGTCCCAAATTTCCTTCAGAAGTCTTGATGCATGCCCCAAGAACTCTGCATTCGTTTCCCAGCGCTGCCTTAACAAAGTACCCTGAACTATGGGCTTCAACCACAGAGATTTATTCTCACAGTTCTGGAGGCCAGGAGTCTGAAATCAAGGGATTTTTGATTGTTTGTTTGTTTTTCCTGTGAAGGCTGTGAGGGAGGGTCTGTCCCAGGTCTCCCTCATGGATTGTCAGAGCCTCCAGAGTTCCTTGGCTTGTAGGTGGTCTTCTGTCTCTGTCTTGACATTGTCTTCCCTTTGTTAGGTGTCTTTGTCCACACATCCCCTTTTTATAAGGACACCAGGCACACGGGATTAGGATTCACCCTCATGACCTCAGCTTAGCTCGATCACATGGGAAGAGACTATTTCCAAATAAGGTCACATTCACAGACCCTGCGGCGTAGGGCTTCAGCGTCTTTCAGGGAGACACAGGACAATGCATAACGCTACAGATTTACAAATATTTTTAGTTTGAATTTCTGGGTTTTATTTATTTATTTTTTGCATCAGATGGGTGATGTGATGATACCATCACAAGTTTTGAGGAAGGCACATATCATAAAACAGCCTGAAAACCCAATCATCATGCTTAGGTTTTGGTTTTTTAATTTTCATTTTTCTTGAGTCAAGATCTTGCTGCATTACTCAAGCTGGAGGGCAGTGGTGCAGTCATGGCTCACTGCAGCCTCAACCTCCTGGGCTCCAGCAATCTTCCCACCTCAGCCTCCCAAAGTGCTAGGATTATAGGAATAGAGCCACCACCCCCAGCTGTTCCCTATTTTTTGTTTGTTCGTTGTTCATTTTACTCAAAAACACACCTTTGCTGCTGGGCATGCTGGCTCATGCCTGTTATCCTCAGCACTTTGGGAGGCTGAGGCAGGTGGATCGCTTGAGGTCAGGAGTTCAAGATCAGCCTGGCCAACATGGTGTAACGCCTTTTCTACTGAAAATACAAAAATGAGCTGAAGGTGGTTGTGTGTACCTGTAATATCAGTGACTCGGGAAGCTTAGGCAGGAGAACCACTGGAACCCTGGAGGCAGAAGTTGCAGTGAGCCAAATTCATACTACTGCACTCCAGACTGGGTGGCAGAGCGAGACTCTAACTCAAAAAAAAAAAAAGAAATATACATACATATATGCCCTGGCGCACGAACACACACACACACACACACACCTTGGCGATCTTTTTATATATCAGCATTCAGTGGTACAATTTAAATTCTATGGTAGATTTCATTTAGAGTAATACAATCTAAATACTATTCTGTTAAGTTCTAAGTTCTACAACTAAAAATAATAGGCCATGCATTTAAATGAGTCAAAGTTCAAAAACTATTGGTTATTTGGCTGCCACATTTCAGGTTCTCCACAGCTGCAGATGGCCCGGAAATATGTTCCTCATTGCAAAAAGTTTTATTGGTTGGTGTTGGTGCAGCCTCAAAGCCGCTCTCCCACCCCTCCTCAAAGCCAACCGCTGTTAGGGTTTTTTTGGTGATTCCTTTCTGAGATAATCTATGCACACAATCAGCATGTGGAGTTAATACAGCCACCTAAAAAAATCAGCGTCACCCATGTAGTGTGAATGACCATGTAATAGTCCATGGAATGGAATGTATTCAGCCAGTTTCATGATGAAGTACTCTTGAGTTTTTCCCAGGTTTCCTGTTACAATTATTCCGTGGTGAACACCATTCTCTCTGCAGAGTAAATCCATAACCGTGGAATTCCCTGGCCACAAGGTGTATATGTTTTTCTCATTTCTTTTCTCTTCCTTTCTTTTCTCTTTTCTTTTCTTTCTCTCCCTCCCTCCCTCTATTCCTCTCTTGGTTCCTGCCTCTAACCCTAGCTTTATTCTCAGCAGCCACCACCTTTTTGGTACTAGAACAGTGTTTTTATAGTGCGCTCATCAGTGGATGCTGAAATCACAACCTGGCCATTTGGCTGTTCAACTAATGCTCTATGCCGCAGAGTCCCTGCAACTCACCAACCCATGCCAGAACTCACTGGAGCTCAGGTGTGCAGCACTACCTTGTTTCTCTATGGCTGGGGGTGCAAATATTCTTGATGTGTTTATTTCCCATTTTTTACTTTGGAGGTTTTGTTTTGAGAGACAAGCTCTCACTCTGTCATGCAGCCAGGAGTGTAGTCATGCCTCACTGCAGCCTTGCCCTCCCGGGTTCAAGCCATCTCACCTCAGCCTCCCAAAGTGCTAGGAATAAAAGTGTGGCCTACTTTTGAGCTTTGCCTTCTTTATGTATTCTAGAGATGAGTCCTTGGTCTGATAGGTGGTTTGTAAACGTTTTTCCCAATCTGTAGCTTATCTTTCCATCCTCCTAACTGCGTCTTTCAGAAAGCAAAAATGTGGTCTCCCTTGCAGATACTCTGCCCCTGTAGCAGGAAAGCAGACACAGACAGTATGTAAATAAACATGTGGATGTGTCCCTTGAGTAAGTGTCCATTTGTGGTAATGAGATCTCTAGACAGATCAGTGCTGAGAGGCTATTTCATTAAGTAATAGTTGAGCTGGATAGAAACTCTAGCCTCATGCCTACTTTCTCTTACTTCACTGTCTTCTGTTGCTGCTGGTGGGAAAGTAATTGTCAACATGTTCTTCCTTCTTTCCACCCTCCTCAGTAGCTTTTAGGACCTTTTGTCTTTTCTGCAATTGTGTTTGGATGGGTCTAGGTATGGATGGATTTACTGTATTGGGGATTGTGCCTCCTGACTCTAAAGGGTCCTGGGTCCTGTCTGTTTTCATTCTGGAATTTTTTTTTTTTTTTTTTGAGGCAGACTCTCACTCTGTCACCAGGCTGGAGTGCAGTGGCAAGATCTTGGCTCATTGCCACCTCCACCTTCTGGGTTCAAGCATTTCTCTGGCCTCAGCCTCCTGAGGAGCTGGGATTAAAGGCACACACCGACTGGCTGCTCTGAAAAGCCATCTTTGCATTGTTCCTCGTCCCACTCCTTGTTCGCCGCAGCCGCGCGTCTCCTTCGCCGTTGCAGACTCTGGCAGCTTTATCGCCAGAGTCCTTGAAATCTCGCTTTTTTAATCCCCCGCATCGGATCACCGGCGGGCCCCACCATGTCAGACGCAGCGGTAGACACCAGCTCCGAAATCGCCACCAAGGACTTGAAGGAGAAGAAGGAAGTTGTGGAAGAGGCGGAAAATGGAAGAGACGCCCCTGCTAATGGGAATGCGAATGAGGAAAATGGGGAGCAGGAGGCTGACAACAAGGTAGATGAAGAAGAGGAAGAAGGTGGGGAGGAAGAGGAGGAGGAAGAAGGTGATGGTGAGGAGGAGGATGGAGATGAAGATGAGGAAGCTGAGTCTGCTATGGGCAAGCAGGCAGCTGAAGATAATGAGGATGATGATGTCGATGAGGATTAGACAGCAAAAAAGGAAAAGTTAAACTAAAAAACAAACAAACAAAAAAAGGCCGCCATGACCTATTCACCCTCCACTTCCCTTCTCAGAATCTAAACGAGGTCACCTTCAAGTAGAGAGGCCAGCCCGCCCGCCCAACGCGGGCAGTGCCACCCGCAGACGAACGATGCGCTCTCCACTACCCAACCCAAACCATGAAATTTTGCAACAGGGGAGGAAAAAAGAACCAAAACTTCCAAGGTCCTGCTTTTTTTCTTAAAAGTACTTTAAAAAGGAAATTTGTTTGTATTTTTTATTTACATTTTATATTTTTGTACATATTGTTAGGGTCAGCCATTTTTAATGATCTCGGATGACCAAACTAGCCTTCCGAGCGTTCTCTGTCCTACTTCCGACTTTACTTGTGGTGTGACCATGTTCATTATAATCTCAAAGGAGAAAAAAAACCTTGTAAAAAAAAAAGCAAAAACGACAACAGAAAAACAATCGTATTCCGAGCATTCCAGTACCTTGGTTGTGTATGTACTTAGCTGGACTATACGTAGTTGGTTTGTATGAGATGGTTAAAAGGCCAAAGATGAAAAGGTTTTCTTTTTTTCCTTTTTTGTCTATGAAGTTGCTGGTTTTTTTTTTTTTTTTTTGGCCTGTTTGATGTATGTGTGAAACAATGTTGTCCAACAATAAACAGGAATTTTATTTTGCTGAGTTGTACTAACCAAAAAAAAAAAAAAAAGGCACACACCACCACTCCTGGCTGATTTTTGTATTTTTAGTAGAGATGGGTGTTCACCATGTTGGTCAGATTGGTCTCAAACTCCTGACCTTAGGTGATCCACTCATCTGGGCCTCCCAAGTGCTGGGATTACAGGGATGAGCCACCACACCTGGCCTGGAATTTCTTTGAGACATGTTGGATCATCTCATTTCATCCTCCCTTTGTCGTATTTTCCAATTGATGAAGTTTTAAATGTCTGTGAATGGCAGCCACTAATTCTGGCATCTGTAGCTCTTGGCGGTCCACTCCTCTTGTTGATACTGACCTCTATACCCTTTTAGTGGGGCTTCACTGGCTGAAGAATCTCAAGGTAGCTAGTGTTAGAACTGAATTAGAGGTCCGCCCTGGTAGTGGGGACAAACCCCCACACGTTTGCTCACAGAAGTCATCTTCTGTATTGATAATGATTTTTGCAGTATGAGAGCAGAGGGAAAATGGGGGCTGAGCATTTTTCTAAACGATAGTGGACATTCAAATCCCTAGTGAGGCTGGGCGCGGTGGCTCACGCCTGTCATCCAGCACTTTGGGAGGCGGAAGCAGGTGGATCACCAGAGGTCAGGAATTCATGACCAGCCCTGCCAACATAGAAAAACACCATCTCTACAAAAATACCTGCCTGTATTTTTGGGAGGCTGAGGCAGGAGCATTGCTTGATCCTGGGAGGTAGAAGTTGCAGTGAGGTGAGATTGTGCCACTACACTCCAGCCTGGGTAGATCATAAATAAGAGAGATAACTGACTCACAGTTCTGCAGGCTGTATAAGCACAGCTCCAGCATCTGCTTGGCTTCTGGCAAGGCCTCGGGAAGCTTACGATCATGGCAGAAATGGGAGTGGGTGCAAAGAGAGAGAGGAGGGGCCAGGCTCTTTATAAACAAACTGCTCTCAGGTGAACTAATAGAGCAAGAACTCACGCTTCACCAAACGCAGGATGCTAAGCCATCCATGAGGGATGTATACCCTCTAATAAACGTGAGATTTGGAGGGGACACACATCCAAGCTGTATCAGGCCTTAAATGATTTGTTTTGACTCTTAGCTCCTTGAATGACAATTATTTGTTCTCCCTGACAAGAGAGAGAGAAACGGGTTTTCCCTCCAGCTGGAAGGCAAATGCCAGCCAGGGGGCAGAGTGCCAGCCGGCTGGGGCAGCTTACAGCACTGTGGAGGAGGGCCAGGGACATGAAGCTACAGGCACAGAGGTGGAGGTAAATGGCTGCCAGAGTGCAGGCAGGCTGGAGCTCCCGGGTGCCCCAGGGGTTCTGCGCACACAGGCTAAGGAATGGTGCAGGCTCCACCTGAAATCAGGGCCATCCAGTCACTGTCTCTAGCCTAGGCCTCTGCTCCATGCCACTCCCCAGGGTAGACTGGGGAAAGGGCTTGCTGTGCCCCAGGGCCCAGGCTCACACTCACCACCTGGAAGGCATTCCCCAAGCTGGACGGGGGTCCTGGAAGTAGGCCCGGCAGGTGGGGCTCTGTCCTGCGCAGGTCAGCTGAGTCTTCTCGGTGGCCCTGCAGACACCATCCACCTGGTGGGACAGACACAAGATTCAGGCCTCCCGCTGGACCATGTGGCTTCCCCACATACATCAGCCTCAGCAGGAGACTCCCCCCAGTGCTGGGTCTGCAAAGGCCTCTGCAGAGCCAGCAGGCCACCTGCCTTTCCTGGGACTCTGCAGGGAGCAGCCCTCAAGAGCCTCAGCCAGAGGGAGGAAGGGCAGGTGCACCTGCTCACCTGCCAGGCCAGGCTGAGCTCCTCCAGGCTTTGGGCCAGAGCCATCCAGTAACATCAGATCAGTGCCTGCTTCATTGTCGTTGGTGTCCAGAAGGCCAGCGGATATGCCTGTGGGGAGGAAGGAAGCTGAGGAGGTCCTGAGAGCCCATGATCCTCCCTCAGGGGTCCTGTATGAGATGAGCCTCAGGCACACGGAGGATTGGTAGAATCCCTCTACCCCAGACTCCTAGAGCTCTGGCTCCAAACCCTCATCAGCAGGAGGAGAGAAAGCACAGGGACTGAGGACAGCGTGTGTCCCCCCCATCCCGTCTCCACATCCTCAGCCCGAGTGGCCAGAATTCAGGCCTACCCTTTGTGTTCCTTGGCAGAGGGACCACAGAAAGGCCAACTCCACCTTGGAGCCACATATCCAAGGGATGGGGGCAGAAAGCCCTGGGCCTCAGTGCCATCTTCTCAACCACAGTGGCCACCTACAGCTCGGGGACCTGTTGCACTGGAAGCTGAGAATGGTGCATCCCGAAGAGGCTCTTGGTGGTGGTGCCAACTCCGCCAGGGCCCAGACTTACCGTGGTGCCAGAGGTGCACAGTCAGGCTGCAGAGACCAGTGGGCACATCACAGGAGATGGAGACCCCATCCTCACTGGCCAGATCAATCCTGGGGACATCTCTCCTTTTCATGGCAAAAGGCAGCTGGAGGTCTGAACAGCTATCCCCTGGCAGGGAGGAGCTGTACAGCCTGTAGGCCAGTGGGCAGGAGGGCTGACCCACAGCCAGGGGACAAGCTTGAGAGTGCCATCCCCCAGGCAACCTGCCGCAGGCACAGGTCTCCAGGGGAAGCTCGGGCCTCTCCTCCTCACCTGCAGGCTGGAGTAGAAGATGAAGGTCACATGGTTCAGCTCCACGGTCAGGGCCATGAGCCCCAAGCCTGTCTGACTCAGCATCAGTGAGAATGTGTTGTGAGCGAAGTCTTGGGCCAGGAGGATGCTGCTGCACTGGACGCTGAGGTTCCACACCTGGCCATCAAAAGTCACCACGTGCTGGGCCCCAGCCACCAGGGCATGGTCTGGGGAGAAGCAGCCCCAAAGGCAGGGTGAGTGGAGCCAGCTCCACCCACCGCAGTGGGAGCACAATACCTGCTGGGCACCCCAATGCCTAGAGCCCCAGCTTAGCCTGCCCTGAGGCCAGGAGTCCCCCTTCCCTGGTGCAGCAGCCAGAGGCCCAGTTATCCCCCACCAGCTTCAGGATGACATGAGCTAAAGGGCTATGGCCCAATTCAGCCCTAACAAGAAATGGAGTCCCCAGACCTGCTACAAAACTGCTGTGCTGGCTCAGAGGCCACATTGTCATCCTTCTGTTTACACCAGATGTCCAGAGCAGGCACAGCCATGGACACAGCAGGCAGACTGGCAGCCACAGGGTTTCATTTTAGGATGATAAAAACGTTTTAAAATCAATTGTGGTGAGGCATGCACAACTCTGAATAAACTAGAAGCCACTGAATTGTGCACTTAAAATTTACATATTAGTCGGGCACTTTGCCGGGCTGAGCAGGAGGATCACTTGAACCCAGGAGGTCAAGGGTGCAGGGAGCCAAGAGCGCACCACTGCACTCCAACCATGACAACAGAGTGAGACCTAGTCTCAAAAAAAAAGAAAATTCATACAAGTCATCCATTTAATCTCAAGGAAGCTATTGGGTGGGGGGGAACCATTGACCAGTTAAGTGGATGGCCAACGGCTCCCTCAAACATGACAGCGGTGTCCTGCAGACCTGCCCTGTTCAGGGTAGGTAAGAGATGGCCTGTGAAGGAGCAGGTCTGACCAGTCTAGCCAGTGTGGCCCCTGAGCTGTGCCTTGGGTGTACTCGTGCCCATGGCGGGAAAGCACCATCCATCGTGTACAGCCAGGTGCCTGTTGGCCAGGGCCAGCATCCCAAGGGAGGCACTACCAGCCCCGTGGTCAGCTATCAGAACTGGGGTACAGAGGCGCCCATGGTCACATGCACAGAACTTCAAGACCAGGCTGTTTTTTTTTAAACAAGATCAGCATGCTGCTTAGACCTGACTGCACCCACGCTTCTAGGGAGCCGTAGGCCTCCACGTGAGTCACACACAGATAAACCGCTCCTTGCCAAGCCTGGGTACAGTGGCTCCCCCGCGGACATGAGGGGCTCCCTCGTGCATTAAGAACTCTACATGCCCCTTACTCATGTGAGTGAGCCACGTGGTTACCTGCATTTGACAGTAGAGGAAGCAGAGTCCACTGATGTTAGCAGACTCACCTGAGCCACAGGCAAGCTTCTCAGGAGCCCAGAGCTGATGACCCCAGCACCGCCCTTGGCTGCACTGCTGGGCCAGGACTTATAATCTGGAGAAAAGCAGGATGTGCAGCCTCAGCCCTAGTCCCATAGGACCTTGGGAAGTCCAATAAGCTCTGGGCCTGGCACTGTGATGCCACAAGCCTCTGCAGGCTTCCCTGTGCCCCCACAGTACCTGCCCCTGCATGGCCCTGCTGCTGTGCCCACAAGGCAAAGGGCTCCCAGGGAGAAGGGTGGCACAGCCCAGGGCAGGACTCATACTCCCAGAGATCCTGCAGCAGGCGGCATCTGAGCTGGTAGAACTCGGCCAGCATGTTGGCCCTGGACAGCTGTGGGAGTGGCCACAGCAGCTTCTCCTCCATCAGGTAGCAAGTCCCCCAGTCCACATCACCCCTAGGCAGCAGCAGCAGCGTCACCACCAAGTAGTTCCCAGAGGGAACGCACAGGACAAGCCGCTGTGCCTGGCTGAGCCATGCTTCCTTTTGCTGCAGAGGGGAGCTCATAGGACTGCAGGAAGAGCTCCGCCTTGGAGGGCATTGGGGTGCCTCTCGGGGAGGGCTGTTCTTGTTCTAGAAAATCTCATGAGGTGGAGGAGCACAGAGGCTGGCATGACAGCGGAGGTGGGGGATGATGACGGGACAGACAAGCTGTCCTATTTTGATGACACAGATGTCTTATGTCATGTCTGATCTGCTCCCTGGGTCTTGGGCAGCATGGGGCCTGTGTGTGTGGATGCCAAGGATAGGAGCTGGAAGGTGTAGGAAATTTTGTTTTTTTGAGACAGAATCTCATTGTTTCCCAAGCTCAGGTATAGTGGAACGATCTCAACTCCCTGCTACCTCTGCCTCCTGGGTTTAAGTGATTCTCCTTTCTCAGACTCCAGAGTAGCTGGAACTACATGCACTCACTGCCATGCCTGGCTGATTTTTGAATTTTTAGTAGAGTCAGGGTTTCACCATGTTGGCCAGGCTGGTCTCAAACTCCCGACCTCAAGTGATCCACCCAAAGTGCTGAGATTACAGGCATAAGCCAGTGTGCCTGACCAACAGGTCTAGGAAATTTCTACAGTTGAGGGGAGGACTGAAACTTTCTCAATATGTAGAGTAGGGTCAAGCCTGTGAGATCTGAATGATCAGGGAGATCTCGGCTCATGTGGGGGTAGAGTGGGAAGAGAAACATTGCACACTCTGTTGTTGATGGGCCAGTGAGGGGGACGGGCAGGTGGACTCACTTACATTTTAGGGAGCCCAGAGGCCCTGCAGCTGGGGGCAGGAAGCAGGTTCAACACCTTCACTGCCAGTTAAATCCATTTTTTGGCACCCCCACGAGATCCCACTCACCAGGTAGGCGAATAACCCAGGCAGGTGATTCTTCAACCAAGCCAAAGCCCCGCCCTGGGAGCTCTTCCCTTCCTAAGCCTACATTCTGACCGCAAGGCGGCAGGAGCAGGAACTTGAATTACATGGAGCCTTTTTCCCATGATGTGGGTCTACTCCCTATTCTACAGCTGGGGAAACTGAGGCACACAGAGCCGATGCAGAGGAATCCCAGGAAGAGGCAGAGCCGGAGTCCAGATGCTCTGCAAGGGCACCAGCATGAAAGAAGGGGTGGCCCCCTTGCCTGTAGCCCGGTTTCTGGTGGGCCTCATGGCTGTGAGGGAAAAGGATATTTGGCCCCTGCTGTAGACTGGTTTCCCCATTTCTATCCACCACCCCCGTGTTCTCAACACAGGGAGCAAAGGGGCCTTTTGAAGTGAAAGGGTGATCACATCCTTCCTAGGTCAGAGCAGAAGCCAGAGTCCTCCCCTCATCCCCTAGCCTTGGAACCTCCCAGTCGCATCAGCCTCACCACCTTGCTGTTCAAACAGGCCAGGCAAGGTCGCTCATGCCCGTAATCCCAGCACCGAGTCTCTGGAGCCCAGGATTCTGAGACTAGCCTGGCTAATATAGTGAAACCCCGTCTCTACTAAACATACAAAAATTAGCCGGGTACAGTGGTGAATGCTTGTAATCCCAGCTACTTGGCAGGCTGAGGCAGGAGAATCACTTGAATTTGAGAGAGGTTGCAGTGAGCTGAGATGACATCACAGCACTCCAGCCTGGGTGACAGAGAATGAGACTCCCATCTCAAAAACAAACAGGCCAGGCACATCCCTCTCACAGGCTTCTGTGCAGTGGAGCCCCCACCTGGAGCTCTCTTTCCACACTGGCCCCATGGCTCTTGCTTGAACTGTACCTTCTCAAAGCTGGCCATGGCCACACCATAGGATCTCCAGCTCACCATCTCACCAATGTTCCATCTCAAGCATTTGCCACCTAAGTTATGGCTCAGTGGTGGCCAATGATGAGCAGTGGGCCACATCCAGCCTGCAGCTGGCTTCTGCATGGCCTGCAAGAAAGAAGGGCTTTTATGTGTTTAAAAGATTACATAACAGGCCGGGAGTGGTGGCTTATGACTATAATCCCAACACTTTAAAAGGCCAAAGGGGTTGCATCACTGAAGGTCAGGAGTTTGAGACCAGCCTGGAGTGGCAAAATCCTGTCTCTACTAAAAACGCAAAAAATTAGCCAGGTGCAGTAGTGCACACACCTGTAGTCCCAGCAACTCGGAGGGCGGAGGCAGGAGAATCACTTGAACATAGGAGGCAGAGGTTGCAATGAGCTGAGATCACACCACTGAGACAGACCAAGACTCCATCTCAAAAAAAAAGATGATTACAAAGGAAAAGCAAGGAAATGTGACAGAGTGGAATGGCCTGCTTAAGAGGTGACTCTCGGGCTCTCTGCAGGGCGCTATGCACACTCTGTTGTAGGTGATTTCTTGGGCTTCGTGTCTGTCTCTGAGTAAAACTGAGCTTCCTGAAGGCAGGGGTCAGCCTTGCCCACTGCACTCCTCCGCAGCAGCTTCTAAAATCCTGCCTGCACTGGAACTGTGCTCAGGAGGTCTCTGTGGAGTGAGGAAGAAACCTCAGCTTCCTCTCCTGTGAAATGGGGAGTGAAGAAGCCTCTGTGTAGGGCAGTCAAAGTAGTCAGTGAGTCAGAGCATGTCGAAGCATTCAGCATTGCACCTGATACGTGGTAGGAACGCTGGATGCGACACTCCCAACCCAGCGTTACCTGGCTGTGAGGCCATACAGGTCCAGCAGGGGTTTGCAGAGCCTCTTCAGTGCCCATGAGAACATGGCCTCAGCCCAGGACAGCATCTGGTAGGCCACATGGAAAGGGAAAGGGCAGTAAGAGCTGTCTCAGTCATCCTCAGCTGCCAGCCACGCCCATCCTTGCTTTCACTCACCAGCTCCAGGGTGTCTTTCACGGCCCCCAGGGTCACCCTGATGGGCCTGGGACCCCGGTTGCCTAGCATCCCAGGCACCCAGGCCTGTAGCCACCACATGGCCTCCTCTGCCTGCTCCGGCCACACCTCCTCCAGGGGCCACAGCATCACTTCCAGATAGGAGTCCTTCAGTGTGGCCTGGCAGCCAACACCCACCATGAGGCCTCTGGGCAGCTCAGAGGCCCAGCCCAGGCCTCAAGGAGATAGGGCCTCTTCCTGGAATTAAGATGGAGTGGGGGGAAAAGAATAGAGCAGCAGGCACTGGAGATTGCGGGTTGTCACAGCAGACCCGAGCTGCCTCTGCATGGCCTGCTCATACCTTGTCTGGGAACTTGGATTTGGGGAGGGTTCCTACCAATCCTAGAAGTGATACGAGGTGCTCTGCACCTGAACTGTTTGTACAAACGTGGTTTATGCCGGACCCCTGCTTGCCTCCTAGGAGTCTGACAGTGTGCTCTGAGCCAAGCAGCACCTGCCACTTAGGCAGCCCCACCAAACACCCTGGGTGACATAGTGCTGGGACAGCCAAGTGCGTCCCGTGTGAAGGCGCAGGGACTGGGAGAAGACACTAGGTGCTGGCCCTGGTTCACCCTGGACTCCGCCCCGGCCCCCTTCCCTGTGCCAACACTCCTGCCTCCTCTCACTGTAGTCAATGACAGCCGCGAACAGCACAGTGTGCAGAGTGCTGGAGCACTCTTTGAAATTCACTGCCCTGTGGGTGGCCATGGGACTCTGGCACATCAGAGAGGCTATGGAGATGACATTCAACAGCCAGTCAGAGGGATGCCCACCCTGGCATTGGGCAAGGTCTTAGCCCCGGATGGTGGAGAGGTCAGAAGTTTCTAGTCCTGCCAGGAGGGCAGTTGGGGCAGCTGCTGTGAGCGTTTAACGACCACATGGCCACAAAAAGCTCATCGTGGAACCAGAAAGAGACCCTGTGGCAGTGAGCTTCACAGAAAAAAGGCTGTACACTCAAAAGAAAGCAGGCAGAAGACTGAAGAAACCGAGGCAGGAGGCATAAGGGATATTAGCTGGGAGACCTTGTAAGAATAAGACAGAAGCCCATGAAAAAAAGAAGGTTGGGTCCGACACGGTGGCTCACACTTATAATCCCAGCACTTTGGGAGGCTGAGGCGGACAGATCATGAAGTCAAGAGATCAAGAGCATCCTGGCCAAGATGGTAAAACCCTATCTCTACTAAAAATACAAAAATGAGCCAGGCATTGTGGTGCATGCCTGTAGTCCCAGCTACTTGGGAGGCTGAGGCAGGAGAATTGCTTGAATACGGGAGGCAGAGGTTGCAGTGAGCTGAGATCATGCCACTGCGCTCCAGTCTGGTGACACAGTGAGACTCCATCTCAAAAAAATAAACCACCGCCATTTGCAGGACTGGATGTGAAAAGGAAAAAAAAATGGACAAGGTTAAATGCGTGCTGTAGAAGAATTACCACCTGTTCAGCTGCTGAGCACACCGTGATTCCTAATTCAGCAAAAGAACCCCCACTCGGAAAAACTAAGAATGAACTGCTGTTTCCAAAATGCATTTTTACGGTTGGAAATCTGTGTTTCCCAAGCCCTCCTTCCAGTCCTTGGCACTGCGACAAGGGTTTCTTACCCCTGGGGACGTGGGGCAGAAGATACAAAAGGGAGAGTCACCAAGGCTGAGTTTCAGCTGCCAGCATCCTTACAGCCATGGCCAGAGGGCCATGAGGGGTTCCCTAGCTCCCACCATCTATGCTGGACTCACAGGGCATGGCTCTGCTGCAGTGACCAGGCTTACCTCCATGAAGTGATTGCTCAGGGTGGGCCCCTGAGTCATTCTTGAAGGTCTGGCTGACACGGAGATGCCTCTTGTCGCTGCTCTTGTCCCAGTGCTTTCCACAGCTCGCCTCCAATTCAAGTGATTCTCCAGCCTCAGCCTCTGGAGAAGCTGGGATTACAGACACCCACATTTAGGCCTGGCTAATTTTTATATTTTTAGTAGAGATAGGGTTTCGGCATGTTGGCCAGGCTGGTCTTGAACTCCTGACCTCGTGATCTGCCCACCTGAGCCTCCCAAAGTGCTGGAATTATAAGCATGAGCCACTGCAACTGGCCTTTTTTTTTTTTTAACTTATTGTTTGTTTTAGAGATAAGATCTCACTCTGTTGCCCAGGCTAGAGTACAGTGGCACATTCTTGACTCATTGCAACCTCTGCCTCCTGGGCTGAAGTAACCCTGGATGAATAGACGTAAGACTGAGGGTGAAGTGCCAGCCCTGGATCCATTCCTACATGGCTATGCTATTGGGGGCAAGTTCATCTCTTTGGGGATGAGCTCAGGGTACTCAGGTCACCACTTGCCAGTCTCTGGTGCTCTCTCTGGACATCCCACCTGGCCTGGGCACCCACCTTGTGGCTGAAGGCTGGGATCTGTGTGCAGTGGAGCTTGTGGTGCAGCTCCAGCCTTAGGCGCCGTCTGAGCCACACTCTGTCTGCAGCCTCTGGCCAGTGCTGCACTGGTGCACTGGCTGCTTTGCCTGAGCTGTGAGGATTGATCAAGGGACCCCTGCCCTCCTCTGCTAGGCAGCCCTCCACCAGGGCTCCAAGAGGAGGAGGGCCCAGCCCAGCCTGACCTCAACCGTGTCCTCCCAGCCCTGTGGTCTGCTTCACCTGTCACTCCATTAAAACCTGTCCATGGAGAGGTCTTAAGAGATGGATGAATGTCCCCTCAACAGACACACCTTTTTTTTCCCCCCATAATGAGCAGGTACTAAGTCCTACTCAGAGCCCACAGAATGACTAATGGAAAATCCTGTAGTGACAGCATATCTTAGCTCACAGAGCCACAGCCACAGGAAACAGGGCAGGCCCTGCCACCTCCACCTGCCCCACAGCCAGGAACGCAGTGTCTTACCCGGGAGGCTGTACTGGATCCTCAGGGAGTTGGTCCACAGCCAGCCCCACTGCTGCAGCAGGCCAAGGGCACGAAGCCCTGCCAGCCCTGGCATGAACAGCTTGGCATCCAGGGTGGTCACCCACCGTCCATCCTCCTCCTCCCATTCCAGCAGTGCTGCAGGGACAGAGAGCAGGCAGGTGAAAGGGTCAGAGCCCAGGGACCAAAATCCCCAGCCCCAGGCAAAAAGGGGACTCGGGATACCCCAGGGGTCTTGGGTTGGGGGGCTCCTTGAAGAGTCAACACCTATGCCCAGCACAACAGCCCACATCAGGCCTGATCATGGCTCACTGCAGCCTTGACCTCCCAGACTCAATCCATCTTTTCACCTCAGCCTCCCAAGTAGCTGGTACTACAGACATGTGCTGCCACCTTGGCTAATTTGTTTGTGTGTGTGTGTGTGTGTGTGTGTGTGTGTGTACAAACGGGTCTCAGTATGTTTCCCAGGCTGGTGGTCTTGAACTCCTGGGCTCAAGCAATTCTCTTGCCTTGGCTTCCCAAAGTTCTGGGATTATAGGTGTGGGACACTGTGCTTGGCCCAGGGATAAAATAGAATGAGGCCAGGCACAGTGGCTCATGCCTGTAATCCCAGCACTTTGGGATGGCAAGGCAGGCAGATTTCCTGAGGTCAGGAGTTTCAGACCAGCCTGGCCAATATAGTGAAACCCCATCTCTACAAATAAATAAATAAACCAGGTATGGTGGTGGGCACCTGTAATCTCAGCTACTCGGGAGGCTGAGGCAGGAGAATTGCTTGAACCCAGGAGGCAGAGGTTGCGGTGAGCCAAGATCGTGCTATTGCACTCCAGTCTGGGTAACAACAGCGAAACTCCATCTCAAAAAAAAAAAAAAAAGAAAAAAATGCATTTAAAAAGTCACTGATTTATGATGTGTGCTTTCTTGATCGTTTCCAGATATTTCTTCTAAAAGGCAACTGAGAAATAAGTGAAAGCTGAAAAAAATCTCTCCAGGGCTGCACTTCAGTGAACCATTTAGTTAACAAAACACAGAGGTCAAGGGTAAAATTCAGATCCCAAGAAAGGACTAGAAAAAGCATCCCAGCAAGAAGGCTCAGGGGTGCAGCTACCAGCCAGTATCCCTGAAGGTATCCCTACGGGAGAGTTGCAAGTTGAATTCTGAGTGCAACGGTATTCGAAAGTGTCCAACACCGAGGGAAGGAAAGACAAGAGACAACTTCACAGCTGAGGACATGGAAGCCCTGAGACATCAAGGTCGCATGCAGCTGGTGTTGGAGGCAGACCCTAGAGGAGCTGGGGGGAACAAACAGGAGATGGCAGGTCCAGACTGACTCCTGGGCCTGGGTGGCCTGGAGGGACCTAGGCGCTCTTCAAGAACTTCCCTCTTTTTATGAGACTGGTGTGTTAGGGGTGTCCTGTGTAAACAAACTGTGAGGGCACTGGGAACTCTGGGATCAGGGCCAGCTTCCCACAGCCATTACCTAGTGCGGCAGCTCTGGGGTCTTCCCTAGCACCTCCTGTTGAGGATTGGTCTGAGCCCATCCACCACGGCCACTGCTGGTGCCTGGAATTCACCTCAGGGGTGTGTTCTTTTCTTTTTTGCTTTCTTTCTTTTTTGCTTTCTTTCTCTATTTTTGTCATGAGTCTCAGTCTTTTTAAGATATGATTGGCATATAAAAAGTTGTACTGGTTAGTCCTGCTGCTGCTCCTCCAGCACTGTCTTTTCCCATGGAAGAGTTTTCCGAAATCAGCTGACTCACTGTATAAATGCATGCCCCAACCCCATGCCATCCATATAAAGAACACTGTGACCACACTGCCTTTCAGTTGACTTCTGCTGCAGATCCAGCTTTCAGCTCTTTCTTGCTCTGTGGTTCTGCAGGAGACATAGCCAGAGTTCCTGGCGGCAGAGAGTTGGCCAGAACAGAGGAATGTAGGAGGCAGGTTAGTCCTGGGAGAAAGTGATCAGTTGCCAGACTGATTAGAAATTGGATTTTACATTAGGTTCGACCCAAGAATTGAGATTCACAGGACAATCTCCGCAGACCATTTTCTGCCGTGAAGTCTGAGATGAAATGAAGATTACTGGACAAAGGAAGTTGGAAAATGCCTGATAACGCAGCCCATTTGGAAGGTGCAGAGTTTGGAGAGCCCTAGAAACCAGATGATGAAAAGCATGGCTCCTCACGCAAGGCGCTTCCTCCGCAGCTACTGTGGCCCGGGCTGGCTGTCGCCGATTATCTGAGGAGACTGCAGTGGCCTCACACCTCTCCCCAACACCAATGTGACCCCACCCAGACTCCCACAACCTCAGACTTGGATTGGGGGTTGGGGGAGGTTAGGGTAACAGAAGAAGACACATGGCCAGTTCTTGAATGTAGAATGTGAACTCTGTAACATAGGCTGTCTCTCATAAGCTCAACAGCAAGGCTCAAACAGCAAGGCTCAGACAGCTTGCTCTTGTCCTAACAGAGAACCTTCTGTCTGAAGACTGGAGAAAGAGGTTCATGTAATGGTGAAAGCTGTAAAGTCCCACAGCCTGGCATCTGCAAGGTGAAGATACAGAAAAGCCCATGGCTTCATTCAAAGGCCTGAGAGCCAGAGAATGAAGAGCAAGAGAAAACTGGTTTTCCAGCCCCATTTTCGGACAGAGAGGGAATTCAATCTTCCTCCACCTTTTGCTCTCTTCTGGCCTGCGGAGGATTGGACGAGGCCAGCCCATGACCTTCACACAGTCCACTGAGTCAAATGCTCATCTCCTCCAGAAACATCCTCACAGACACACCCAGAAATCATACTCACTCAGTCCACTGAGTCAAATGCTCATCTCCTCCAGAAACATCCTCACAGACACACCCAGAAATCATACTCACTCAGTCCACTGAGTCAAATGCTCATCTCCTCCAGAAACATCCTCACAGACACACCCAGAAATCATACTCACTCAGTCCACTGAGTCAAATGCTCATCTCCTCCAGAAACATCCTCACAGACACACCCAGAAATCATACTCACTCAGTCCACTGAGTCAAATGCTCATCTCCTCCAGAAACATCCACAGACACACCCAGAAATCATGCTCACTCAGTCCACTGAGTCAAATGCTCATCTCCTCCAGAAACATCCACAGACACACCCAGAAATCATACTCACTCAGTCCACTGAGTCAAATGCTCATCTCCTCCAGAAACATCCACAGACACACCCAGAAATCATACTCACTCAGTCCACTGAGTCAAATGCTCATCTCCTCCAGAAACATCCACAGACACACCCAGAAATCATGCTCACTCAGTCCACTGAGTCAAATGCTCATCTCCTCCAGAAACATCCACAGACACACCCAGAAATCATGCTCACTCAGTCCACTGAGTCAAATGCTCATCTCCTCCAGAAACATCCTCACAGACACACCCAGAAATCATACTCACTCAGTCCACTGAGTCAAATGCTCATCTCCTCCAGAAACATCCTCACAGACACACCCAGAAATCATACTCACTCAGTCCACTGAGTCAAATGCTCATCTCCTCCAGAAACATCCACAGACACACCCAGAAATCATACTCACTCAGTCCACTGAGTCAAATGCTCATCTCCTCCAGAAACATCCTCACAGACACACCCAGAAATCATACTCACTCAGTCCACTGAGTCAAATGCTCATCTCCTCAGAAACATCCAAGACACACCCAGAATCATGGCTCACATCAGTCCACTGAGTCAAATGCTCATCTCCTCCAGAAACATCCACAGACAACACCCAGAAATCATGCTCACATCAGTCCAATGAGTCAAATGCTCATCTCCTCCAGAAACAATCCACAGACACACCCAGAAATCATGCTCACTTCAGTCCACTGAGTCAAATGCTCATCTCCTCCAGAAACATCCACAGACACACCCAGAATCATGCTCACCTTGATCAGTCCACTGAGTCAAATGCTCATCTCCTCCAGAAACATCCACATAGACACACCCAGAAATCATGCTTTAACAGCCATCTGAGGGTCTCATGGCCCAGTTAAGTTGACACACAAAATTATCACATAACAACACACCTTCAAATTCAGGTTGTTTTTGAATGCCTAAGTATGATGTTCTAAAAAGCACGTACCTATGAGGTATTAGAATGAATACATCCTTGTTTAATTTCCATAATAGAATATGTAAAGTAATATTTTATTTGTCTTAAATATGTCTTTAATATAAATATACCTATTATGTTCTATCATTTCATAGTATTTTGTGGTTTCAATTTAGTCCACCCTAAGGTAACTATAAAAAGTATATTGAAAAGTTACAGGAAAGGAAAACTAAGACAGGTGCAGCCTTGACTTGAAAGAGTTTACAAATTAAGAAGAAATACATGTGCACAGAAGGCCTTGATATAGACAGTGCTTGTCAGAGTATTCTAAGGAAGGTCTTTCTGAAACAACTCTGATTATGAAAAATGTCCAAGGTCTCCACATTGTCTGCAAGAGAAGACCTAACCCCATAGACTTTCCTACAGAGACATTTGCCATCAGAATTCATTTTCCCTCTTCATCTTCTGTTTCCTCCTAACCTACATTCAGGACCTTTTAGCTTTTAGTCATACCCACCCACTCACAGATTTCTCAAAAATCATGTTCTCCCATGTGTCCTCGTGTGTTTAACATGATTTCTTTACCCTAGAATTCTTGTTTTCTTTTCTACCCTGAGCGTTCATCAAAACTTATTTCAATGTCAACTCCCTGCCCAGCATCCCCCGCTTCTCCAGGCAGGGTTTGTCTTTTCCTCTCTGGCACTTCATGGACACACTGTGTGTACCTATTATAGATTTTCAATACAAAATTACAATGATTCTTTTCCTCATCTGCTTCTGTTTTGCTTGACTGAGAAATCCTTGGGCCCGGCCTCTCTACTCACCTGAAGTTCCCTGAGGAGCCTGGGTGCACCCTAAAGATGCAAGGTGGGAGAGTGGGGTGAGCGCATAGGTGAAGGGGCCTCAGGAGCAACCTTGTTTCTCCCTCTTTGATATTACAAGTAATATTTCTCCTTAAGATATTACAAATAATATCACAAAGTGTTCAAACATACTCTACACCGGCTACGACATTAGGAGTAATATCTCTTTAAAATATACACCCATATCAACCCAACTGTGATATTCGGAGTAATATCACTTTAAAATATACATCCACATTAACCACCCGCCATAGGCAAGTCATATCACCCGGGTTCCCCCTGAATATTACGAACCATATCACAGAGGAGTGGCCGTACCTATGACTCGTAGTATCTCTCCCTAAGATACTATGAATAATATCAGAGGGTGTACACAAATACTTTACACATACTTTGATATTGCGAGTAATGACATATGCTGAATATCACAAAAGTGTTGAAACATACTCTACAACATATAAGATATTAGGAGTAATATCTCTTTAAAACATA